TGTTGTGCTGTCATTATCTCAAATGTGTTTTAATTACATGCACTTTGTGCATCTGTGCTTTTCTTTTTATTTCTGACTATGAATATAGGGGTAGTATTTTTTTTAATATGATGCTTTAAAAAAAATTTTAAATTTACAGAAATTACACTATTTACATTATTCAGACTGCCAATTTATCACAACGTTTCAGCTGTTGTATGTTCCAGCCTTCTTCAGGTAGTTGGAATGTCGAAGTGAACCCTTTATTTTGCTCACTGGGGTATACTGTTCTAGTTTCACGTGCCATGCCTAATGGATGTCAGTTATCTCCTGTTAATTCCCCTCTCCAAGTTCTCTACCAGGTATTGAACTCACACTCTTTGGTCCTGTCACTGTATCTAACTAAATGCCTTTATCCACTGGGTCATGTGTCCTTGAGGATATCTGTGTGTAAATTTCTAGATATTATAAACCTAATGTCTTCAGCATCATTTTTTACCAGTGCTCATATTGTAATTTTTGCTGTTATCATTTGTATTATTTTTTACCAGAGCTCATCTTGCAATTTTCATTGTTAGTATTGCTTTTCTCTGGCACTCCTTATTACTGGTTCCCATTACTGGTATACATTTTTATGCTTGGCTGACTCAGGAGATTTTTGTAGCTTAGCATATGTGCTGATTCCTTAACTTTACGAATTTTCCAATGATGTTCTTTGTTTATGATTTCAACCTGACCCCACAGAGGGCCATGATCTCCCTTTTCTCTCCATATGTGGTCAGCCACGCTTGATTTTTTCCATTTCCCCTCATGTTACAGCTTTCTGGTGTTCTTGAAGCCTTACCTTAAGGGGGCAGCCTCTCTCCCCTTTATATTTCTTTCCACAGCTGAATGGGATGGCGTACACACAGTCTTTAGTCATGTTCTCCTCTGGTGGGAGGTCTTACTCGAGAGAGATATCTGCGAAGTGTCATCCATCTTTTGAAGGTTGTCCTGATGTTATATGGACTGCAGATCCTTTGTATTTTCTCTGATAACCCCTTCACATAAGGTAGGCAGATTGTTTATGTGAAGCACCTGAAGAAGTCCAGAGCGTACAATAGCTGTGCTGTGTGTCCTTGTGGCATTAGTTAGATCCAGTGACAGGACCCAACGAGTGTGAGTTCCATACCTGATTAAGGCGGTGGAGAACTAGGAGAGATAACTGACATCCATTAGACATGGCACGTGGAACTAGAACAGTCTACCCCCAGTGAGCGAAATAAAGGGTTCAGTTCGACATTCCAACCACCTGAAGAAGGCCAGAGCGTACAATGGCTGAAACGTGATAAATATAGCAACAAAGATGAGGACAATAGTCCGAATAATATAAATAGTGTACATAATAACTCATCTCAGAAATATAGACAGATACATTATAGAAATTAATTCTAAGAAACATCTATATATTTTATGGAGATTATCTCAAGTATATCATTCTGAAATTTTATTTGATTACAATATTACTCTCTCTCTCTGGCAGTAAATTTAATAATTATGAATAAAAAGTCAATATTATTATGTAAGTATTTATCACTTCAGCACACACAAATCAAGGCAGCTCTTTCAGATGATATAAATTTAATTAGAATTGCTTTTGAGACTTGATTTCTAAATGGTGTATTTTCTATATAATCTATATAAAACAAGATTTATGTATCACTTGTAATTAATGCTGTGTAATTATTTAATTGGTATAGAAATGAAGTGTGAATAATTGACATAATAATCATTTGAGTATTGGTATTTTATACTGGAATACTTTTCTCTTTGTTACATTTTCTCTCATTTCAACAAACCTGAAATTGATTGAAAAGTCCAAACAAAATATCATAACCAAATATCAGTTGACAAATTTTATGCATGCTAACCTAATTGTCTCTCTTTTTATTTTTCCCCTGTCAGTATGTATCAATGATCCTGACAATCCTGCAGTATTAATAGAAGGAGTGCTGTTTCGAGCTCGTTATCTTGGATCTACTCAACTTATATCAGAGGGTCAGCCTTCCAAGCCGATGCGTATGATGCAAGCACAAGAAGCTGTGGGAAGAATTAAGGTAAGTGAACTACAAAGTTGCTTTGTACGTGTTATTTATGGGTGTATATTATAAAATCTATTATTCTTACATGTTTAAGATGTATTACCTTTTATCTATATCTTAATTATTGATCCTATAGATAATATCCTTTCTCCAAAAAATAATATTGAAAACAAAAATCAATTTTAAGTCCGAAAGATGAGCTTTTGAAAAGTTATTATTAAAGTAAAATTGGGATAGTTTTCATAATACTTAGTTTTTACTTTGTCAAGAGGATGCAATCTCATAACCATTTCCTAAATATTACATATTGAACTTTTCTTTCTTTTTTTTTTTTTTTTTTTTTTTTTGTTATTGTTTTTAGAAAAAATGTGAATTTTATTAAAATTAGTACACCCTGACTTAAATATTTAATTTTTTTTTTCATTTACTGCTGAGAATATATTAAAAAATTTTATTCAGAAATTCATATTCATGTTTCAGAGTTTTGCCATAATTATTGAATATTTTTACATCCATAACTGCGAGAGGTAATATAAATTGTACTAAATGCTATTGCATAATTATTAGCATAAAATCATATTTTGTCATGAGCTAAGATTTGCGTGGAATTTTTTCAAAAAATAAATTTTGGTCATTTCAGCAATCTCTGAAAATTCAAACATTCCAATCGGGACATGAGATAGTGAAAGCTGCCCTTGTATGCATTGATTTTATTTTTCGGGTTGATTTATCAGTTTGTGCACAACAGAAATATCTTAGTATAATTATTTCATAAAATATTAACTTTGTAATGGCATTTTCTTAATTTTTCAGCAACTATTTAAAAAGTTGCTTCCCTTTAACTTTGTATGGCAAGAGTTATCTACTCTTGCACTTCTGAGACTATTAACGAAACGCTAGTCGTAAACAAGATTTATTATTGAGTCGATTAAAAATGTTTTCATTATATTGCATTGGTAACTTTTCTAATATTTTGTTTTTAAATTGTACGCTCTGAATTTTAATCTCTCTTTTTTTTTTTTTTAATACTTTTCTAAATATTACTTCATAGGCTTCGGTGAGTGTTATCTCTCTTTCTGTATCTTAATGTTGTGTATACTTGATGTTTAGTGCCGTTATATTTCTCACTGCTTTTTCCCCCCACAATTTAGAATATTTGGTAGCTCTTTCTTCCACCCTCTCTTTTCTCAACTTTAGTTTTGAACCTTTTAGATTGAAGATGTTTACAATTTTATTAGCCTCTGTATATATTCCTGCATCAGTTTTATATAGTTTCTTTTCTTACCATGTTATACTACCATATTTTCTAACCATATTATTGATTTTTAATTTTATAACATTCTAAAAACGCATAGGTAAGCATTGTTTACCTGGTGAAATTGACATTTCTTCATATACCATACATTGTATATATCTTTACAATTGGTTAATTTGTATGCTTGTAAAATCTATAATATAAATACCTATTATTTTTTAAATAATGGCTCATCTAATAAAGACATTTAGTAAGCAAACTAAATCATGCTTGTCCCTAAAAAGTCCATTATATGCTTTTAACAAAAAAGATTTTGAATATGGAATTGTTGGTACAGTAAAATAGATTAACCAATCTACCTGCATTATTGATATAGGTTACTAATACAGAATTTCTGAAGATATAAATGGCTCTTTTAGAATGTCAACAAAATTACTCTTGTGAATCTGCATGTGCCAGTATGCTAGTACAGATACTTCAATATTTCTAATGTGTGTGATTTTCAGTGTCTATGAATATTTATAATTATGTCAGTTTAGTTGGCTGATGTTACAGAGCACAATTAGAAATTAGTTCCTCTATTACTTGATTTGTTGACTTTTTTTATGTGTTTTATTCTAATTAACCCCACTCTATTCTAATAGTGATTCCTTTTTATTGATTACTTTGAATATTTGATGTACTGACACAAGTAGAGAGTTATGATTTGAATGCATATTGTTATTGACTAAGAACTATTGCTGTATTGTTGTCTTGAGTTAAACTGGAAAATAAATGTTAAGAATGTGATATCATTTCTTTCAATTTAGCAATCAGGGTAAATTACAATCAGCAATATAATATCAGTCACATAGAGCATCTTTATAGCAAGTGGTCAGTGTGAAATACAAATCTGTAACAATTATAAAACAAGCAAAGCATATGAAATATAGATTAGGTAGTTCCACTTTTTTCGCTAAAAACAGCATAGCATTATGAAAAAAAGGCCCCAAACTTAATAAAAACAAAATTTTATCAGCAAAATGTTAGTTATTATTAAGAGGAAAAACCAGAGTATTTTTTTTTTTTTTACTCCTTTCTAACACAATCAAAATTTTGGTTAAAAAAATTTTTTTTTTTTTTAATGTATCAATGGTGTAACAGAACTGACTATGGAAATTTTAGAGCCTTTCTTCCAGTAGAATAACACATTGTTTTGGAAATTCTTGCAAAAAATCAAATAATTGATAGAATTTAATACAAATTTCAGGACTTATTCACAAATGAAAAAATTTAATTTTTAAATTATTATTTTTAGAAAATCTTGGTAAAAATATTTTTTACTCCCCCACCTTTAATTTGAGGAAATTTCTAGAAATTAAATTCTGACCTCAAAATTTGTTAAATGCAGGACTCCTAAGAGGATGTAAATCTATTTTTTTTGTTTTCAATCTAACACTTTTGCCCCAGCCCCTCAACCTCCGGCGTCTTACTCTCAGGGTTGAGGTGTCTGCTCTGTCCTAACCAAACTTGAGGGAGTGGCCATAGGTCCCCTGAGCATCCATAGATTATTCAACCGGTTCGCTGGTTTAATCCTGCTTCCTGCCCATCCAGAAAGCAGAAGTGATGTCCGTCCATTCACAGTTGACTGAAGATGTAGACACGGCTGGGGAGTCTGCGCTAAGAAATTTAGAATGCAGCAAAAAAAAATTAATATCTGCAGAAAGCCGGACAAACATAGATTCAATATGTTGAATTGGTAAAGTCTTCTATATAGCAGAAAAGAATAGTAGATAAGAGAAACAGGTTACAGAAAAGGAAAGTAAAAAAAAAAAAAACTCATACACTGGATTCTAGACACAGAGAGAGAGTATGTGATTATTTTGTTGTTAAATTGACTCAGAACGATATATGACTCTTGCGATGGAGGGATAAAGATTATTGTGCGGAGCTTAAAGTTATGGTGCTATTCCTCCTCCCAACGCTTGCCCGGGCCATTTCTCTCTTCTAGAATTTTCTCCTGTCTCGCTTTTTTAGCATAACTACGCATTTATATAGATAAACTTGGCTGGTTATAACTGACCCTCGGCCCTACTACTTCGCACACGATTATCACGGGGGTTCTGGCTGCTTCAACCAAAATCATGTGAATTCCAACGTTCCTTCTAGCTTACTCAGCTCTATTTCAATTTTAATTGATAAAAATTATTTCGACCATTTCCATTGTCTACTGATGACCCAGATTCAATGGGTACAACTTCTGCCCTAGATCAGATTTCTCCAAATGCTCTGATTTAATTTCGCTATTCAAATCTACTCCAATTTCACTAAAAAAAAAATATACGTGCATGTGTGTGTTTCTCAGACTCTCTCTCTCTGTCACATCAAACAGTTACTGGTTTTCCAAAAATCTGCTCTGAATAAAAACTGCAGTAGAATTATCTAATTATTTAATTAGATAAGCTTTTAATTGCTTTTATAAATAATATATATTAAGGATATTATAGTCTGAAGACAAAATTCTTTTCTGTTTGATGAAAACAATTGTTTTTTTTTTTTTTTTTTTTTTTAATTATAATAATTTATAAAGTTTCAAAAATCTTCTAAGTAAAAATTGAAAAACTTAATACAAATTGTCACACACTAAGATTTTAAAAATAATTAAAAAAATTTTTATTTTTTTTAATCTGTATAAAGATGACCATTTTGAATGTATGGGTGACCATACATGACATTATCAGAAAATAAGATCGATGACAATAGTAAAATTAAAGTCAACATTCCTAAAAGTAGATTTATCGAGAATATTTCCAACATTTTTAAGATTACTGAGTACTTAAAAATTATATAAAAAAAGCATTCACCCATCATTTTCTTAAATAACAGATAATGTCTTTGTAGAATAACAATAAAACTCTCAACACTTTCAGAAACACTTGTTAAGTGATTTACAAATGTTGACAAGTACCTAATCACTGCTACTGTTTTAAAAATCCATTTCTCCGTTGTTTTCAACTTAAAGTAAATAATATTTTTTTCAAATCAGATTAATTATGATTTAAATCAGCTAATATTCCTCAAATATCATTTCAGAAAAGTATATTTTATTTTTGGATGATTTCTTAATAAAGAAAATTACATTGTGATGACAGATGACTAAAAAAAGGTGTTAATCAGTGATTTTTAGCCCCCAAAAGTGAATCAATCAATATAATTTCTGTTTGAAAGACAGTGTATTTTACTTACTGGAAATTGTAAATTTAATCCTTTAACTTTTAATTAAAGCTAAAATGAAAGTTTCAAGAAAGTTTTCATTTTTAAAATTCATTTTAAACTTTAGGTATCACGAATTAGTGGAGGTACCTAATATAGGTTAATGAATTAATGGTTAAGATAACTGTAAGATAAAAGCTTATGCTTTTATTTTTACATTTTGCATTTTTTTTATATATTCTCTGGTTTCTCTTCAAGAGTTTGTAATTATCAAAAATTAATGAATTTTAAATTTTGTTTTATATTGAGTTCATAGGAGTATAAACGTGTTTATATTTCACTATAATGGCCTTGAATTATTTCAAAAGATTGTCTAGTAGATCATTTTCTATACAACCTTCAGCTATTTGCTAAGTTGTTAAACTATACAAATTCTGTACTGTTGACCAATAATTACTCTAAATTGTGACTAATGAAATAATTGGGGATATCTTGCTAATGAAATAATTGGGTATATCTCACATACTGCAGCCTAACTTAAATTTTCTGTCATATTGAACACTAACCA